CCCTCGGTCTTTAAAACATCTTCAAAACATCAGCAGGAGAGCGGCTGGCGCGCTCGCTTCCACTGCCCACCGGCGTTCGCGGGCTGCTGCATGGACCGCGCCAGCCCCGCGGCCCAGGCGGGTCCTGGCCCCGGCCGCCTAGGATCGCCCCACACTGCGTCCTCGGGACTGTGCTGGGGCTACAGGGATGGTGCATCCCCAGCAACGGTGCCTGCGGTACAGGGGTCACAGCCAGGCTTTGCTGGCACGCAGTGGTGATTGCCACAGTCTGGGACCCATGCCCTGGGCTGAGCCGGGGTTGCTTGGCCCGACTGCTCTCGCTGGAGCACGGCAAAGCCAGTCCAGACACAGCGGACGGGGCCAGCCTCCGCCCAGCCCTGCAGCCCCCGGCGGCTTCGGGTGCCTCTAGAGGGGCTCGGCCTCAGCCCCTGCAGCTGCCACCCTCCTGGAGCCCCCCACCAGTAGCCCCAGCCCCCAGGTGAGGCACGGGGCTGTGGACCGAGCCGGGCCGCCACCTCCACGGGATGCCGGAGCCAGCAGCGATGTGGGTGCGGGGGCCAGGGGTGAGATCGCAGCCCATTAAAGCGTCTCTGGTCCTTGCCGGCAGGTCGAGGCACAGGGACCCCCCCGGCTGCGGGGCCGAGCAGAGCCGAGCCCTGCCCTGCCCCCCCCGGCCACCCCTCGGCCTCCCCGCCGGCTCCGGAGCTGCGCAGTCGGCTCCCTGCTTTTAATAGAGAGCTGGGAAGGCACATTATGGAGATGAGGGTGTTATTTGCATAACGCTAATTAGGTAATTACAAATCATTTTGCTATGAGCTGAAGCGTGTGCTGTGACATAACGTTTATTAGTCATTCCATTCAAGCCCTGCGTAGTTAAGTCGTTCGCAGCACTAACGCCCCAAGTTGGGTGATAAAAGGTGAGCGCTGCACCCATGGGGGCCCGTGCGGGCTAGGGGGTGGCCGGGGGGGACGCTTGCCACCTCCTGCCACCCCGTGCCTGGCCCACGACAGGCCCTTCCTGCCGGAGCCCAGGATGGGGAGCGTCACAGCTCTGCTCTGCCACTGACTGCCTGTGTGCCCTTGGGTGTGTCACTTAGGCACCGCTGTCCCTCTATCAGTGCCGTTGTCCCTTTGGCGCCCTCCCCCCAGCACTGCTGTGCTGTGCCCAGCCCTGGGGCTGCCCAGCCCGAGGCTCTCCCACCCCCAGGCTCACATCCTTGCCCTGGATCAGGGGAGCAGGGCAGGGACCCCGGGCTGCTCTAGGGCCCATGCAGGCAGGCACTTGCTGAGGCATGTGGAGGTCCTGGAGCAGAGGGAGACGCTGGCCTGGATGGAGAGAGGGGGCTGCCAGCATCCTGGGGGCTCAGCATGGCAGGGCTGAGCGCTGCCCCTTCATGCAACCAGGGCTTGGCCCCGCAGGGCCGCGGCTTGGGCAGCTGGGAGGCTGATGGCCCTGCCCTGCCGAGGGAGGCAGTGAGCATCATGACCAGCCTGGCCCTGGCAAATAATGCAATGGCCCACAGTACAACAGTACTGCAATGCCCCCGTCCCTCCCGTGACCCCCCCATCCCACCCCAATGCAGTGCATCACAGCGCAGTGCCCCCGCACCCTGCAGTGACCCGTCCCTTCTCTTCCTCTTGCAGAGCCGGATGAGCCGTTCGAGTTCATCATCGTGTCGCTGACGGGGCAGACGTGGCTCTTCGAAGCCTCGACGGCGGAGGAGCGGGAGCTGTGGGTCCAGGCCATCGAGAGCCAGATCCTGGCCAGCCTGCAGTGCTGCGAGAGCAGCAAGAACCAGGTAGGACCCACACCCCCAGCCCAGCCACTGCCCCCACCCCCTGCCCCATGCCCATCCACCCCTGCTCCATGCCCCCTGTGCACTGTGCAGCCCTCTGCCCCCCTCCCACCCCCTCCCAGCTGGGAGAAGGGTCCGGGGGCACTGAGCAAGGAAGGGAACCCGTGTCTGGGCTCCCCCGACCCCCTACTCCCCATCTGGGGGTAGAAACCAGGCTTCCAGGCACTCCAGGGCCCCTCCCACTTCCCAGCTGGGGGTAAAACCCAGGCGTCTGGACTTCTGGTCTAGGTGCAACAGCCCAGAGTGAGGGAGTGGCCCTCTGCCTGGTGCCCTTGAAACAGGAGAAAAATGCGACCACCTCTGGGGTGGAGCCTAGTCGAGCACTGCCAACATAACCGTGTGCTGGGTGGGAGGGGGGACACAGGCAGGCTTTGGGCTGCCTGGGGGCCTGGAGCCTAGCTCTGGGCTTGTTGGGGGGTGGGGTGGGTAAAGGTGCCTGGTGCCCTCTGACCCCCTGGCCCGGTGCCCGCAGGCCCGGATGGACAGCCAGAGCGAGGCCGTGGCCATCCAGGCCATTCGCAACACCAAGGGCAACTCCCAGTGCGTGGACTGCGGGGCCCCCAGTAAGTCTGGGGAGAGGGGGCTGGGGGGGGAGGGGCTGTCCTGGGCTTCTGGGGGCTGGCGGGGTCCATGCCCACATGGATGTCTGGGGCCTGGAGGGGCGGTGGAGGCTCCCAATGGGGCTGGGAGAGTCCAGGCAGCATCTAGGGGGGCCAGGGCAGTCTTGGACTGCGATGCACCCAGTGAGTCCACCCGTGCGGGGGGCCGGGGGGATCATGCCTGGGACCCTCCTGCCCTGCCCTGCCCTGGACCCCCAGGGCTCTGCGCTCCCAGAAACCCCACGGCCTGCGCTGTGGGGTCCCCGGCTCCTGGGGAGGTGGGTGCCCAGGGTGGGGAGCACAGCACGGAGGGACACGGGGAGGATGGGGCCCCTGCTCTGTGCTGACCCCCTCCGTCCCCGCCCCAGACCCTGACTGGGCAAGCCTGAACCTGGGCGCGCTCATGTGCATCGAGTGCTCCGGCATCCACCGCAACCTGGGCACGCACCTGTCCCGCGTCCGCTCCCTGGACCTGGACGACTGGCCCGGCGAGCTGCTCGCCGTCATGACGGCCATCGGCAATGCCCTGGCCAACGCCGTCTGGGAGGGCGCCGTCGAGGGCTACCCCAAGCCCGGCCCTGAGAGCAGCAGGTGAGATGTGGCTGGCGCCGGGGTCCGGAGGCTGATGCCGGGGAGCTGGCCTGGCTGCGGGGCCTGCACCGGCCGGCTGCAGGGTGGAAGGGGTTAACGGCGACAGCTTGGCCGCGGTGCCGCGGCGCGGCGCGTCCCTGGGGTGCGTCCCATTCAGGCCTCGCTGGTCCCCTCCGCCTGTCAGTCATCCCGACAAGAGCCCATTCTGCGGCCTTATCAGTGGATAAGAGCAGGTCAGGGGGCGGCGGCAGGGAGCATGCGCCGCAGCGCGTATTGATCGCCACCCGCCCCAGGCAGATGGATAGAATGGGAGCAGATAGCGGGCCTGCGGCGCGCATCGGGCCAGGCCCCGGCGGGACCCCGCGGCACCGCCACCGCCCCCCTGTTCCTGCCGCCGGCCCGCACAGAACTGTGCCAGGCCGTCCGGCCACGTCCAACACGGGCACTGGTAGGGCGGCATGTGCCATGGGGTGCACGTGCCCACCGGGGCCGGCTCATTTGTGCAGGGCAGTGTGCACACGGCCGGGGTGTGCATGGGGCTGCACATATGAGTGTGCACGCGAGGGGCCATGGGACCCTGGGCCCTGGCCCGCACGGCCCCCCTGACCATATCCCGCCCGCACGGCAGGGAAGAGAAGGAACGCTGGATCCGGGCTAAGTACGAGCAGAAGCTGTTCGTGGCCCCGCTGCCGCCGTCGGACGTGCCGCTGGGGCAGCAGCTGCTGCGAGCGGTGGTGGAGGACGACCTGCGCCTGGTGGTGACGCTGCTGGCCCACGGCACCAAGGAGGAGGTGAACGAGACCTACGGGGATGGCGATGGGCGCACGGCGCTGCACCTCTCCTGCGCCATGGCCAACGTCGTCTTCACGCAGCTCCTCATCTGGGTGAGCCCCGTCCGGCACCTGCCCACCCCCTCCCATGCCTCCCCGAGCCCCCCTGCCCCTGCGGCCCCCTCCCATTCACAGTCACAGACTCCCAGAGCCGGGGGGCTGGCAGGGAGCTGCGGGGTCACATCCAGTCCCCTGCTTAGGGCAGGATCAGCCCAGACAAACCCCATGTCCAACCTTGGAGCTGCACGACAGTCACCCCGACACAGCCCCAGGAGGGGAATCCCTTCCTGCCCCAGTGCAGCATGGGGCTGAGCCTGGGCGCGGGGGCAAGACCCTCCTGCCGGGACCCTGCGGGGTTGGAGCCAGCAGGAGCATTGGCACAGCCCCTTCCCCAGCCTGGGCTGCACCCAGCACCTCAGGGGAAGGCTTAAACCCCCTGACATGTGGAGCAGAAATGGGGGGCATCGTGCACAGCCCAGAAACCGGTGAAATCCCCATAGTCGAATACACCTCCTGCCCTCATCTGCCCCTGCCCGCCCGCTCTGCGCAGCCAGCCCGACTCCTCTGCCCTCCAGCCCCTGCTCCCGCCCCGACGCCTGCCGGGCCCTGACCCGCCGGTTCTCTCCCTGCAGTACGGGGTGGACGTGAAGAGCCGGGACGCCCGCGGACTGACGCCCCTGGCGTACGCCCGGCGCGCCGGCAGCCAGGAGTGTGCCGACATCCTGCTGCAGCACGGGTGCCCCAGCGACGCCGCCCTCTCCACGCTGACCCCCAGCCTGCCCCGCCGCAACGCCAACGCCAACAACAACGCTGCCGAGCTCAGCGCCAGCCCCAGCCCCCACTAGCCGCCCGCCCACCCCGTCCCACCCTGCTGCACGGGGGCCTGGCTCTGGGGACGGGCCCCCCCTGCCTGGCACAGGCTAGGCGG